AGCACCGTGAGGGGACAGCACCGTGAGGGGACAGCTGAGGGGACAGCTGAGTGAGGGGACAGCTGAGTGAGGGGACAGCACCATGAGGGGACAGCTCCATGAGGGGACACCTCCGTGAGGGGACAGCACCGACAGCCTGATTTCCTGTGAATTAAACGAACCCAACCCAACGAGGTTCTCACCAAGTTCACAATCAGCCCCTGAGGACTGGGGATGAAAAAGAACCCAAGGGAACGCTGCTGAGACCAGAGGAAGGAAACAGTTCGTGGAGGACTGGAAAGGTGTTCCTGCAGTTTGTAAATTGATAAAGACTCTCTGTTGCCAAACAGTCTGTTGGCAAACAGTTGGACAAGAGGGACCAGGACTGAGTAAGAGAGGCAGAGCTGGCACTGGATGGCAGAGGAAGGTGTAATTCTCTCAGGAATGGACAGAAATGGCACGTGGATTTTGGAAAGCGAGCTCCAAGATCCTTCCCCTTCCCACCTGATTTACCTGCCAGTGACACCAGTATTCCTTTACTCGCTGCCCTGGAGTTGTTCTGAGTTGGCATTGTGCAGGTTAGTTCTCTCTAATATCCTTCAAATACTCCAGAGAGAGAAAAGTATTTGTCACAATCCCCTTTGAGCAGATGTAATTACTAAGGCACAAGGAAAACGCACGAGAGAGCAAACTCAAAGGTTCTCATTTCCTTTGTGTAGTTAAGATTTTAATTAAAAAAGATGGGGAGCAAAGTCACCCGTTCTGTAAGGGCGGGATCTGCCCGCTGAAACTTCTGATGGATTCTTAAAATTCCCCCCCACCCCAGTAGGTTTTCCACACCACATCCCTTAGATGTTTTGTTTTTGTTTTTGTTTTTTTTTTTTAAATAGAGGGTTTCACCTTTGTGTACAACAAATCTGCTAATTTGAATAAGAAAAAAAAAAAAAACACAGTAAAAAAATGATACCTGCACAACCGGGAAGTAACCATCACAAATCTGCTGATTAAAATAGATGACACCTCAGCTACCCACTGTAATTCCATTTCTCCCCTAGAAATCAAAAATAAAAAAGAGGCCAAATTCTCATCCCCCGTTGTGAATAACCGTACCTGAACCCCGGCATTCAGGGCAGGAACCCGCGGTCAATCAGCAGCGCGATCTGACACACGGACACCTTTGACGTTATCCTGTTTGTTGTAAACTTTTCCAGACTCTCCCGGGCTCGCCCCCCTCCTCTCCCCGAGCCGTGACCGCGCCGTGACCGCGCCGTGACCCCGCAGGTACCGCGTGGGAGGCACCGCGAGGGGACGCGGGGCGGGCAGGGAAATTTGGGAGTGGGCGGGGAAGTTTGCGCTGGCGAATTAAGGGATGTTGAGACCTGGTGGGATGGAAGCTGCTGGTGGGTTCTTTGTCCCCGCTCTTTTGTCCGAGGCACTCGATTCTCAGCCCACGGTGGCAGTTCGATTGTGACTGGTAGTTTGATTGTGTCTGATAGCCCAGGAAAACACCTGCGCCGCCCCATTTGTCACGGCGGGAAGGTGGGTTTTTCTTGTCTTCCTTCCCCCCACGTGCCGGGGGATCACCCACGCTTCCCTTTTGTCCTTTTCCCAGCTGCACGGTTTAGATTATTGAGGTTATGAAAGGTATTGCCAGACCCTCCCATCCCTCTGCACGCTTGAGATTTGCGCTGTAGATCATTACCAGCTCCTTTGCAAGCAGCCTGCGTGGAGAATATTGAATCACTCCGTGTTTTCCAAGAGATCCGTGGTGGGCACGTGGGGGTTCTGTCCTGTGTCCCCTCCTCTCCTGAGTTTTGTCACCCGCCCTGTGGGAGCTGGCAAGGACCCGTTTGCAAAGCCCTCTGGGCATGCTGGTGGTTTTAGGAGTCAACATTTTAAGCAGCGAGTGTCTGGAGGGGTAATCGGATTCCAGCTGAGCGGATTCGTTTCGGGGAAGGGTTTATTTGGAGCTGTGGCGGCGCCGGTTGCTGCTGATGGCCCCGCGTGCCCGTTGCCATCGTCGCCGTTTACAGCCCCCTGTAAATGATGGAATGATGGGAAATAGATGGAGCTGCAGCGAGGCTGCTGCCCAAATCGCGTTAGGGAAGGGCGCAGCGCTCGGCTTAGTTTAATATTATTATTTTAATATTATTTATTTTAAGATTATTTTAATAACGGTCCCATCATTGCGCCGAACTCGTTTCAGCGTGGAAATCTGGGGGGGGTCAGGGCAGAGAGCTGCAGTGCCTGCAGGTCATTTTCCAGCTGAATCCGGGGCGTTCCCAGGGCCTGGTTTGGTTTTGATTTGGAAATAACTTTCAAACCAGTCACCGCTGAGGAGCAAATCCAGGTTTTTTTTTGGAAGGGAGAGGGCAAGAAGCGGCTCTTTCTTTTGCACTCCATCTACAACCCGCTTCTGGCTGCAGAATCCACTCGGTACTCCTCTCCTCCTCGTTTCTCCTGCCCCTCCATTCCCCACCCTGGCCAGGGTAACCTTTTGGAGTTGCTAATCTGAAATCCAAACACCAAAGAGCTGCCCGCTGAGCCGCCCTAATATTTGAGGACGGTTCGGCAAGGAAAACCACGTTACCGTGCGGGTGCGCCGAGGGAGGGAATTATTTCTTAGCGGCAGGAAAAGGTCAGAAAGTAATTTACCCTTTGGAAGGTAAATAGGCTCGCCCTACTCGTTTCAAAGAACTGAGAAGGTGGAGGGCCCAGAGGATCCCTAATTTTTTTAATATATATATAAATAAGATAAAGAAGAGAATCTCACCCAAACCCTTTTCGGGGCGAAACGCTCCACATTTATTTACACGTGAAATGTGTGTCGGGTACAGTCGTCACCGGACGTTGTGTGGGTGTGGGTGTGGGTGTGGGTGTGTGTGTAGCAACATCTGACAGCAGCAAGACTTTGGAAGGTAAACCCCAAACAATCAGTCAATCAATCAGTCAATCACTACCTCTTCTCATGCACCTACCTATATATATATACACTTTTTTTTTTCTTTTTTTTTTCTTTTTTTAAAAAAAAAAAAAAGAGAAGTAGAAAAGCCTTTTTTTTCCCGGAGGGATTTAACGTACGAGGTTATAAAAGGCCAAAAAAAACCCAACTTAAAAAAACCAAAATAAAATAAAATAAAGACTCTCACAGAGAACTCGATCAGAAAAGGGACAGGATGGTACCTTTTGGGGGTTTGTTTTTTTTTTGGGGGGGGGGGTGGGGGAGACATTTGTGCAAGCGAAACCAGGGGCGCCAGGCGGGCGGTAAATGGCACCAGGCGGGCGGTAAATGGCTCTTTGTGGTGGAGCTCAAACCCCCCCCCACACCTGTCACACGCTCCCAGCCGGGCCTT